GAATTTCATCTACATTGAAAATCAGTATTTTCTCGGAAGCTGTTACGATTGGGAGTGTGATGATGTGAAAGTGGAGGAGGTAGGTGCTTTGCATCTCATTCCAAAAGAACTTACATTGAAGATTGTTAGTAAAATTGAAGCTGGAGAAAGGTTTACTGTATATGTTCTGGTTCCAATGTGGCCAGAAGGACTTCCTGACAGTGCATCTGTACAAGCAATATTAGATTGGCAAAGGAGGACAATGGAGATGATGTATAAACATATATTTCAGGCTATCAGAGATCAAGGTCTCGACGATCACCCAAGGAATTATTTGACTTTTTTCTGTATTGGTAATCGAGAGGTGAAGAAGAGTGGAGAATATGAACCTTCAGACAAGCCTGAATCTGATACTGATTATGAACGAGCTCAGGAAGCTCGTCGTTTCATGATCTATGTTCATTCCAAAATGATGATTGGTAAGTTGTAGTTAGCAATTTCCTTTTCTATCTTATAATATTTGGCAAGTAATACTCTAGCATTGTTTGTTACTAACTTTGATTTCTTAATAGTGGATGATGAGTACATTATAGTTGGATCAGCCAACATTAACCAGAGGTCAATGGATGGTGCAAGAGACTCAGAGATAGCAATTGGAGCATACCAGCCTCATAATTTAACGACTAGCAGGCAACCAGCAAGGGGTCAAGTTCATGGGTTCCGAATGGCATTGTGGTACGAGCATATGGGCATGCTCGATGACACGTTCCAACATCCAGAGAGCGAAGATTGTGTGAGGAAGGTGAATGAAATAGCTGATAAATACTGGGATCTGTACACAAGTGAGAGGCTAGAAACTGATCTTCCTGGTCACTTGCTCCGATACCCCATCGGACTTACTAACGACGGTGAGATCACAGATCTGCCTGGAAATGGAAATGAGTACTTCCCTGACACTAAGGCTAAGGTTGTTGGTACTAAATCTGACCTCCTTCCTCCTATCCTCACTACCTAAGTTAAATAAAACTTGTAGACTTGTTATGTTAACAAGATAATAAATTCCTACCTAAGTCGTCGTTGTTATTTGTTACAACTTCTTTTTCCAGATTTTATACGTGTTCTGAAAGGATACTAGTATTGGATTCTTTGAAAATTTAACACTGTTATTTTCTTGTTGATCCCATTGTCCCCACATACCTATTTATCAATATTATCTCTCCTAATACAGTCCCACGTATACACGTTTATTTGTTTATGATATTTACTTTCCATGTGGTTAATGACTTTTTTATTGGAATCTTAATTATTTGATTTCTTTTTGATAAAACCTTTCATGTTATCGATCAAGATGGTGTACTTATCTAGGTGATTCATAGTTACAAGTAAAAACCTTATTTCCAACGCCTTAACCATCCATCTTCTTCTGATCAGATTTCTAACCCTCCATCTTTCTCTGTTCTTATCGTTTGAAGAACAAAATTCACTAAAGCAGTTCATCTTTTTACAGCCAAATTCACCATAGTTCATCTCTGATCAGATTTCTAACCCTCCATCAATGGATAAGACTCCCCGTAAGAGCCCTAGGCTTAATAAACAAGTAATGGGTGTTGATAGTTCGCCCATCATATGCTCAAAATCATCATATGAGTTGAAATTACAAATTACAAATACTCAGGTAATCCACGTAATTACTTGTATAAAATACAAACTCTTAGTAATTTGCCAAATTTTGCAGAATGAATTTACTACATCCATCCATTTTAATAGCTTGGTAGTTACATTGATAATCGATGGTAAACAACTAAGTTTTTGATATACTCTAGTAATTGACCAACTTTTTCACCAATTACTGTACTAATAATAAATTGGCATACTTGTGGTAATTCACACAAACAGTTATACCAAATAATTTATTATACCAATCAACATACTATAAGTATTTTGACATTTAAGGTATTCTAATTTAGACCAAAAAATACACCAAACAAATAGATCTGAATATTAATTTGCCACCAATTCATAGAAATAACTATTCCAGCATAAGTACCAGATCACATACCAAAAACAAATTTTTAATTTGTTTTTTTTTTCAGGATACAACCAATCAACATATGACCAATTTTTCAAATTATTATCTACACCAATTCAGATAATTAAAATACACCAAAAATGTACCAAAATATTTATTTTATAATTGTATTTTATATACCAAATAATACAACAAAATACACAAATACATGTACCTGAAATTTAACTTGAAGTTAATATGTGTACACCATATCACATACCAAAAGAAACTATTGATACAATCTGTTAACATACGGCAGCAGCATACCAATTAAATCACATAATTAATGGTTTTATATTAGTTGGTGCATTAATCAATTAAACCTAAAACTTTCAAAAAAAAAACAACCTATTCGACACATCAGATTACAACCAAAATCATATGAAGTTGTTGTAATTACACCAAAATCGTTAATATAAAACAACGAATCAATACCAAAAATAATCAAAAAATCAGATGCTGTGAAAAAATCCAATATTATTCCACAAACAATTGCTAAATTTTAATATTTATTTAATAACTAAACCAACATACCGACGCTCTAGAACATCAATCAAATCATATGAATTTATATTTCACCAAAATCGACAAAATAAATCAACATACCGACGCTCCAGAACATCAACCAAATCATATGAATTTATATTCCATCAAAATTGACAAAATAAACCAAACGAATAACTTCAAAAAAGATTAAAATCGATATGTTATGAAAAATCAAATACAACCACGTAAAAAAACACCATATGAACTGTTTTTTATTCAATTACCTGATGAGTCCCATCGCCCGCTGTGTTGAATTAGAATTGAAAAATTATTGGTAAGCATTTTGGATCGTCGATCTTAGTAGGGAAGGGGAGTTTTATTTTTGTATGAAATCTCTCTAGGAGATAATATATAACAAATTGGAGTAAATCAGGGAAGATAAAATAATTGGAGAAATTGAAGGGATACGTGATAATTGTGGCTGACTTGGTAAATGTTTTAAAAAGAAAAAAAAATTCCAGTTTTCAAAAAAAAATATTGCTATATAATTGAAAAAAAAAGTATTGCGGTGTAATTAAAGTTATTAAGGTGTATATTTAAGTTTTTTGGCCCTAATATTTATAGTCGAAACAGTCCACCTAATTCCTCGAATGGGTCGAGCAAAGTTTCTTGAAAGTATGTGACATGTATAAGATGCAGAGATATGAAGTTGCATGCAATGAAATGGTGTTGAAACTAATCAGACAAGTGGGAAAATCCCAAATATGAAAGATTCCATTTGCAATTTGTCCACTTGGGTGATTTTTGGACCATCCTCAATTTTCATTATTGTTTTGAAGTAATTAGACTGAAACGTGTCTATTGGTCCTTATTATTTGTCAATACCTAATTCTACTTTTGCCTAATCCAATCAACCGTGACATTTGGATTCAAATCATCCACAATTCGACACGTGTCACATAGGTCGTAAAATCTGGAAGATTTTTTGTTGGTTTCTTCCGAGCACTGAAATTCGACTAAATTTGAATCACGCATTGCAAAGCTCAAAATGATCATGTTCCCTACATAATTTTCTCCATACTTAAGATTCAAACTCGAATCTTCATTAAGACCGCAATGCATAGTAAAAGATTCATATTAAGTGAACTAGTGTTAGTATTATTTTGATTCATGTTTATCCTTTTCATATCACGGGACAGGGCCTACAACTGTCTTAATACAGTTTTCTGTTACTTTCGAATACTTAAGAGATACAAAAGAACAGACAAATGTTATCCACAAAAAATGAGAAACTAATTTTTTTCAAGTTCCTTTTTTTCTTCTTAAAATATCAGATCACATGCAACGAAAGGTGCACACTAATCTAAAAGTATCAATCTTTCCGATTCTCACCTTAAATGAACCGAACGTTCTGATTTTGATTTTTCTTTTAGTAACAACCTATTATTCATTATTCGATTTACACCACGAATTATTACTAAAGAGGTCCTCTTAAAAAATAACTTCATCCCTGAGCTCGAACTTAAAATATCTTGCTAATAAAAGATTTTTTTCCCTTTCATATTCCCTAAGCTGTGAATTGTGATTGAACAAAAGAACTCTAGGTTCAACACTATAGCTTGAATCCGGTCATAAGAAATCCAACTCGTGAGATTTTCACTTTTAATAGAGACAATATAATTTAAAAAAATTAAGTTGTATGCCAAATAAAATTTTAACTTCAACTCAATCTGATTTTCGATCACTTATGCCTTATTACCTCTAAGTAATACTTTGGCCAAGAAAAATTGAGATTTTTTTGATGAAATCCAATACTAGCTCGTTTGGACTTTTTGCTCCTTTTTTTATTTCAAAATCGTTGTCAATTTTTCACTCTAATTTGAAATTGAATTCTAACTACCTTTATTTATTTCTAAGTAAAATAAAAACTTACCCCTCCCTAAATTTCGATATTTTCTGAAATAAAATGAATTTATTCAAATATAATTTTATTCGTCAAAATATTATGAAATTAATATTCAACTAATAAATCTATTTCGACGACACAAGTGGTTAGCTCTGGTCATGACAGGTAAGGTACATAATTCTTTTCTGGCTTGACATGCAGCCACTGCTACAGCCTACAATAAAGCACTTGTGTCAAAACTTGAAGTGAAAATAGTAGAGAGAACTTGCACTTCTCCAACTTTTCCCTACTTCTTTTTAGATTTTAGACTACATTCTTTGTTTCATCTACGGACGGAGCCCGCATACGGCTAGGGGTTTATCCAAATTTCTTTGGCATAAAATATTATTATTTATATAAAGTAAATGTCGAACCTCATTCAAACTATTGGTGTATCTACTTCTTCAAATTTTGAAGCTTCTTTTTTAAAAAAAATTCTAGTTCCACCACTGATTTTATCCAAGTTAAACACTTTGTAGGGACACTGTTACACACCATAAATCCATCACAATTTCATTTTGAACACAACTTTGTCTTTCTTTACTTCTCTGCCGTGCAGTGCATTGCTGAAAGCAAAAGCTCATTTAATTCTACATCAAACACTTGGAGAAATACCATTACACTATTTTATCTTTTCTTCTTTTTTCTCTTCTCTTCTCTTCTACGAAAGATTTAAATAAAAAGAAATCGAGATTCATCGAGAGTGGAGTAGTAAGTATTATTTTATACATACCTCAAATTACTTGAAAAATCTGTTGCACCAATTCCAAAATCCTTTATGCTGTGGGCTTACTTTAACTAACCAGTCCTTAACCCACCCACTAATTTCTTCTTATTATAATAGTATAAAATATTGAGACGCCATTCTTTTCGATCAGTCAACTTTTTCTTGGAGTATATTCTACACCAGTCAATCAATATTCCTAGCTCTAAAAATTTCTCACCAACCAATTTTACTATGTCAAGTATGTTGGGTTCACAAGGCTTCGTATTGGCGACAGCCATGGCGGTCTCTGCCGGCACCGTGATTTTACTCGATCTTTTCCGGGTCAAGTACTTCCATCTTTCCGATCAACAACATGATCATAAGCAGATTCTCAAGTCCTGTTTATCTTCAGGTACATATTTATGGCCAAACAGGAGCTGATTCTTTTGATCTTGGTTTTATGGATTAATTTAATCTCACGTTTTTTTTAGCTGGGAAGAACAAGGACAAAACAAGAAAGAAAAACAAGAAAGTTCAATTTGCAGCTGATGTGAAAATTTCGAGCGGAAATGGCGAGGAGTACAGAAGAAAACAAATGAGGAAATTCACAGAAAGTCGAATTAAATCTTGTGGGAATGAGATTGTGGGGATTCCAGGAAATAGGATGGCTTTGTACACTGGGATTCTCAAGGATCGGGTTCAAAGAATGGGATTCTCCCATTGATCAATTTGTATTTTCGTTTTGGTTAATTCCTCTTCATCTTCTTGCAAAACAAAAACAGAGGAATTAGGGCAAAGAAACTTTAAAGGCCTTACTGTAATTTGTAAATAATTGTGTGTGAACATATTTTCTGTAAATGGTTTTCTTTACATGAAATTAGGAACTCCTTTAGTAGTATATTTTTCTGGAATCTTCAGTTAATGGGTAGTTGTATATTTTTCTGGAATCTCCGTTTGTTTATTTTTAGGCCCAACATTGGGTTGGGTATCTATATTAAAATTCGATAAAATTTGGATAATGCATATTTTGGAACTTACTTTTGTGGTTAATGGTAACAACACTTCCAACAATTTATTTTTTTCATTTTCAAGTCTCAAATCACTTTGATTAAGAGGGAAGAAATAGCAATCAATTTATCCCAATTCATATTGGTGCCAAGGACAGGTTCTTGTACACGCTATTTAATACTGATTTGTCCAATGCTAATGCCAACATTCATCTTGAGCTCGGATCAATAATTCATGAGAATTATAATTGCATTAATTACAAATTTCTTATTCACATATGTTAATTGTTATCAAAAAGATATACCTTGGTTATATTTCATCTCTTCAACCAGATCAAACCAGAGTTCACGCCTCCCGCCCTGAACAAATAGGAGGCGTGGGCCACAGGTCGCACACAAGTCAGGCCATACCCGCAATTACACCATACTGTCGCCATGTTGAAAGACTACAGAACAAAGTATGAACGTCTAACATGGTCGATTCTAGATAGAGCACGGTAACCCACAACTCCCTACTCACGGAAGTTGCTGGCCGGCGGCCGCTCAACTGTTCGAGCGCAATGCAGTGGTGTTGGTTCCGTAATGTGTTTGTTAGATTCTCCGCTCGAAACGGAACCTAAATTTGTATTCACCTCTGCTACATCACCTGAACCACTAGTAGTAGTACGATACTTATGGTTCTGAAAGGACTTCCAGAGATAATTACGGCGATGGGAGATGAAGAGCATTCTTCCTTCGCGAATACCGCCTCGGCTTCGTTAACTAGACTTGAGAACTGGTGTGAAGTGAGATCTAACAATCGAAGCGGCTAAAGGAGCCTGCTTTGCAGGCTGATGACTCCCAAGAGCTCTTATCGACGGACACGTAGCCGGGGGCGAGTCCAAAATTCAATTGTTCCATTTTCCTGCTTGTTCATCAATCGGAGATTTTTTTCTTTTTCTATCTCGGAGGGCAGAAAGGGAGAAAGTTGACTTTGAGAAGAAAATGGGCGTCACTCGTGGGGTCCGGGGGGGACTACTTTGGATGCAAAAGATTTATAGATGGAGCTAACCATTTCGATAAGATATCCAAATTAACTCCTTCCTGGTTGAAAGTTCAATGTGCTCATCGGCGCCTGACCCCGTCGATGTGAGCTCTTGGGGAAGATCAGTCGTCTTCTCTTTCCCTTATCAAGCAAGTCACACCTAATCGCCTTTAATGCCATCTTGATAAACCCAATGCAGGTTGAACTCTATAGAATCTAAGCCTCACTACCCTTACCCTCTTAGAGGGTTACAAGGAATTTTTGAGGATGAAATCCTTGCTTGTTTATCCCGACGAAGGTTTATGAATCACTCAAATGAGCCTTTCTAAAGACTGAGGTCGATAGGGGCATTACTGGTAACTGTAAATCTGTTAGAGTTTTTCTACGTAGGTTCGAATCCTGCCTCTCCCATCCTTCGTATACGTCAGGAGTCCATTGATAAAAAGGGGTTGGGGAAAGCTTGAACCTTGATTCGCGTATAAATTCCGAAACTATGGACCTAGCTGAACCGGAGAGCCAGGGATGCTAGTCGGCTCGACGAAGTTGTAGCCCAAAAAAAGAAGTTTCGAGATGGGTTTCCTTGCGGGTGTGTCCCTTGGGCCACTTGCCTCGCCCTTTTTTTTGCACTTATCCTTCTTGCTTGCTTACCTATAACTCTCTTGTCTCTCTCTTATTAGAAGAAGGAAGGGGCCCTACCCCACCATTATTAACCGGTGTAGGATTCAAGATCAGGTCCAGGATTCGAGTCAAATCGACCGTGTAAGCACAACAATGAACCGCGGCGAACCCCTTAGCTCTGCCAGGCACTGGACAGGGGTTAGCTCTGTAAATGTGTAGAGCCAAGTGTAGTGTGGTGAAGTAGTAGGCACTTCTAGGCCCCTTCCTTAGTATTCATCGCTACCTGGTGATAAATAAAGTAGCCGCACTTGCTACTGTCTTGGTGTTCCAAGGCTTTCTATCTGGCTTAGCAGCCTTCCTTCATATACCTCCCCACCAATAAATAGAGACAAATAGGAATAACCGAACCATTATAGGACCCTCCTCCTATTAGGGCAACTACTAAGACTGGCTCATTGAGATCGCATGGTTTCCACTGTTGATCGATTACAACACCAAGACCTTGAGGGCATTGTATATCCAAGTCTTGTCAAAATAAGGAATAGCCAGCAAGGTCTTCTTCCTTATTATACGCGCGTGCACTTCCGAAATGAAGGGGACTAAACAGGAACAAGAGGGATCCACTGAAGAAGATCCTTATCCTTATCCTTCCAATGCCCCCTTTCGCCATGCATAAACTAAACCAATAATTAAGATAAGCCTATCCGAAAGAGAATCCAGTACTTCTTGGGAGTTTCTTACTGACCACTAAACCTTCTCTACTTTTGAAGATAGACTGGAAAGTACTCGAGTTGCTCAAATCCAGTAGGAATATCAGGAATAGTAGGATCTAGTAGGAGCTTGCCTTGGAATGCAGTGAGGGAGCCCGGAGCTATTGAATTATTTCATAACCTAAGAAGGAAAGAATCGACCACATCGAAAATTTACGCAAGGTCTTCGAAAGGTTAAGAAAATATCAATTGAAGCCTTCAAGCCCATTCCCTGAGACAGGACTTCCTACATTCCTTCTTCTAGTTCCAGAAGGTACCTTTTATAGACCAGTCTATCTCCTCTGTGGGGAAGGCAAGACTACTCTATCAGAATCAACAAACCTTTGACTTTGGCTGTAAGGGCCGACACTGACACTGAGAGACAAAAGCTAGCCCAAGAAAGGTCGAAGAGGCCAGCGTAAAAGCATAGAAAGCTTGACAAGCAACCCTTCCTCTTGATATGAGGTGCGAAGAGAAAGATTTCTTTTTTATGACTTCCACTTATCGATCTCGGCCCCGCGCTTGCTTGCGTGAAGGCTTAGAGCCCTTTTCGCTAGGTCCAAAAGCTTCCCAGGCTCTGTAAGAGAAGAGGTAACTGGAGTACGCCTGGAACGATGAACGATGAGTATGAGAAGAGAGTTTCGAAGGTCGACCAGTCGGTCTCACAGTCAGGTAGGCTTCCTGAGTTGGCGAAATAATAATAATAAAAAAAAGTCTTCCAGCGGGTGAGAGAAGAGTTCATGTGCCAAGCCTAAGAGGCTTAGCCGTATGAGGCGGAAGTCTCACGTACGGTTCTTTGAGAAGGGAGTGGCTACCTACTGGAGCTTCGACCAAGCACCACCAGGCAAGAGGATAGCAAGTTCCAAATTCTGTCTCGTCTTTCGCTGACCCTATCTAATCTAGAGTGATTGGTTTACCTGTATCATGCAAATGTCCAACACTTAGGTGCTTTCTAAGATCATCCTATATGAAAGGCTTCAAAAATTCCCTTTAGCTCTACGGATGACTAACAAGGCAGGATCCAAACTCCTGGGGGAGCACTCTCCAGGGACATAACAGAGATCGACAGTCACTCCTCCAATACGAAAATAATTATGCATCATTTGCATACCGGCGGCAGCTTTGAATAGGTCATATAAGGGAAAATCAGTTCTCATTAGTCATTTCGAGGCATAATTTAGGTATGCATTTGTGATAGAAATGATTTATTTATTTAATTTTTTCGAAGTTAGAATTTTATTTGGTTATAATTTTACGAATAATACGAGTGAAATAAGGCTTTATCTATTTTTTAAATTCCAAATATAATCTGTATTTGATATTTTTATAATCAAATGGCTGGTTTTTTTCAAATAAAGAAAAAGAAAAAGAAGTGAATATTTTTTAGTTGCCAAAGAAAGGAAGTTAGGCGAAAAGCAAAATGAAATTACTTAACAAGGCCGGCGCGAAAAGAAAGTTAAAACGAAGTTGAAAAGAGAAAAATATTAACCGGCAGGTGAAGCGTGAAAAAGGCCGTCTAAAAGTTTCGATCAAAAGGCAGTGTCGGAGCGATCGACGTTGGGAGAGAGATTGCTGTGGCTTTCTATCTCAGGTAATTCCTCCATCTTATCTCCATTACTTCATTGCTTCAGCTTTTAGCTTTCTAGTTACTTTTTTCCACTCAATTAGGGTTTCTCAATGTGTGCCGATTTCTTACAATATTGAATTAGTGAGAGGCATTTGAGGCGAACGCTATTCGGAGGAATCAATTATTTAGTATTTGTGGTAAAACTTGTATACTTAGAACGGATGACCTAGATCACTTGTTTGTTTACAAATCTGGTATCTGGATTTCTAGAAGCAAGAAAAAAACTTCAGGTTGTGTATGCTTTTAGTTTTCTTATGAAGAAATTGAACATTGTGATTGATATAGAGGTTCTAGTCACTGGAATAGTTATTTGGCCAGTGTATTCCTCTTTAGATGAAACCTCTAGTTCCGATGTATTTTCCAAGTGGAAGTTCCATATATGCTAACTGGTCTTCTCTGTAACTAAGTACAGCACTGAAGCATGCAACATCTCTAGACACATATTTAGTTCAGGCAGAAAGTACGAATGGATGTAGAAACAATTGAGAATATACGTACAAGTTCTGGTTTACAGAATCGAGTTATGGACCTTAAGAGACACTTTGCAAATTAAAGGACACTTGGTGTTTGGAATTGTTACTCCGGTGCCTATCACTTGTGTGATTTATTACTGGTCTCTTCATCAAGTTATACAAATCCACCAAGTCTATCACCTATCTCTCTGAAAAATGAAAATATATTTTATGACTAGTTCCATCTGATTTATTACTGGTCTCTTAAGAGCTGGCTCTTGATTACTTCTACCTGCAAGTAACTCCATTTCTTCTGATTCCGAGTTGGTACCTCCAATAGACAAACTCCTTCCTCCCACAAATGCCATCATTTTATCAGCAAACTCATCCGAGCTAACATCTTCCCCAATTTTGGGGATCATCCCCACTTATAAAATACTGCTACATCTACCATAAGCATTAAAATTTTGGAAGACGAAGTATGAGTATAGCTGATCAAAGTTCCTCTATCTCCTACAGATTTTCCCAGTACCTTCTGAAGCGCTAGTCTCAAGCATTTGCAAAAAAACAATAATGTTGAATCTGTCAGCAGAATTTATGGAATAAAGTTATTGTTCCTCTGTATGAGCTCATACCAATTATCAGCAATTTCCTTGATTTTGAAGAATTTGTCTCCCGCCAAAAAAAGAAGCAGCACTTCTCACCATGATGCCTTATTTACCTTGCCACTATCACCACTTAAGTTACTCCATGATTGTTATAGAACTAATAAAAGCAAAGTATGAAATAGGCAAGAATTTATGTGGATAAGGACTGAAAAAACTGTTTGATAGAATAAAGGAATGGAAACAAAGAGACTAAGCTGAAGAAAGAAAGAGAAGAAATCTTTAACCAGAGTATAGCATCAGAAATGCCATGGAAAATTATTGGAGAGATTGATGATCGATACAAATTAGGTTAGAGTTGCCGGAGAAGGAGGTTGACAGACAATTACGTTATGCAAGGTGAGAACCAGTCTTTGTATTTCACTTGGTTCCACTTTCCTCTATCGTATGCTCTAAGTGGGTGGGGGCATTTAATACATGTGTTAAAGTCCAAGTCCGATTAGAAGCAGTCAATGATAGCACTGCATGGTTTCCAAGTGTAGCAGGTAACAGTCTAATATTACAGAGAAAGTTGAACTTCATTAACATCATTGATAATTGTAAATGTGATGAACAACATCAAAGTCAATCTTGCTTTGGTGGGCTAGTTGTTTACCTAATATTATTTTTATCTTTGTCCAACTAAAGATAATATTTTCCCTATTTATTTTATTTTTTGTGCTTAGTTGATTCTAATAGAAACAAATATCATTTGCAACAGAACATTGGTTGTTCGGAATGCTATAATAATCCCAAATTAAGGTCCTCTTCACGAAGCAGTGAAAGATCAGAAACATCAATATCAGGTGATTCATAAAGCTAAACTATTGGAGGACTTTTGAACAGCCAGCACGTGTGGCATGGACAAAAGTGTAGGTAAGTCTCAGGTAATCAATTCATCAGTTAGTACATCTACACTGACATATGATGGTCATGTGACTGCAAATCCAAACAACCCTGCTGAATTTGTAAATCATGGTAAATTTGACTCTCCATTTTGCATCCATGTTTTTACTTGTCTTAACTTTGTTGTTAAGACGTACCTTGGTCTTTTGTGGAAAATATACTTGCTAGTTTATACAAATGGTTAAATGCATGTCATATATATAAGTAATTGAAGTTTGTGATATTTGATCTTAGATGGTGAAACCAATAATAAGGTTTTACTGATAAATTTGTTCTTCTCGTCATTTTTTTGGGGTGGGTGGGGCTGGTGTGGTATTTTTCCTGAATTTTTCAAGAAACCTATGATATGAATAAGAATAAGTACTACTTACATTTTCAAATATCCGAACCATAGTGATGTTGATGTTCCAGATTAAATTCTGTCACACCGTTGAGAATGATAAAAGATAATAGGCCCATCTCTAATAAGTTCTATTTAGACTCAATTCACTGTTTAGGCATTTGGCTTAACATAATTGTTTCCTATCATCATCTTTTAAAGGTCTAATGAACAATTATTTTATATACGAATTTTCTGCCAGGACTACACCTCTGGAACCAAAGCAGAGAGCAGTGGATAGGACACAAGAAGCTTGTCAACCAACCACAACAGCTCCGTGAACCTAAATTAAAGTGAGATGTTTGTCTTAGATCCCTGCACTACCTTAAAAAGAATGGCTTAAAATGACATTGAATAGCTTTGCTTCTTACTGAATAAATGAGGCATTATATTCTTGTGAATCTTTTGTTCTCTTTGATATAGAGGCATAACATATACCTATAGACCCCAAAAAAGAAGATATAGAGGCATAAAATATAGGTGATCGGCATGCATGCAAAAGTTGGAATCTGAAAAATTCTTTGGATTAGGTGTAAGTTTTGGGTATCGGTGATTTAGTGGTGTTAAGTACTGAAGTTTCTGATCTTCACCATTTGGTGTTCTAAACTGCTGGCATGACAGCACATAGAGCAGTTTTTTGTATATAATTTGCTAAACTTAATCTCTTTTCTTAGGGTCGACATAGGTCTTGTCATATAAGTTGCCCATGACAAGATAGGGTTGCTCAAGTGTAAGTACCCTCCACCTCTAACGAGGGATCAAAAAAGGTGGGAGCTTCTAGGGAGGGGTAAAAAAGAAAAAGAGAAATATCTAAGTTGCCCATTGAGGAAGGATTCAAAGATTTCACGACCTTATTGATCCAGATAGTAAATAATGCTTCACATTTTGCGATAGCTCATATCCAGCCTTTAACGTTATCCCTTTTGAAGGCATAGACTAACTCTGGATCACTAAATTGTAGAGCATGTTGTTATATGCTCTCTTTCTCTTCAAAGAAATGAGATCTTAGCAACAGGCCAACCAACTTGTGTGTATATAATTGATTTCAACTTTGCAAATGGTACATGGAGGAGCGAAATTTATATTCCTTAATCAATCTATCTTCGGCTTGATATATTATTCTGCAGAAACTGTGTAAAGAATACTTTTAGAACTTGTCAAAATCCCATGTGGGCATGTAATATGCCACATTCCAAAGGACTCACATCTAAGGCACATATGACCTTAGCTGAAATATTTCCATGTAGAGTGACCAATTTTTAGCTTGAAAGTATAAAGCTTTTCAAGGATGATCATACCGAAAGAAAAATAAGGAAAATGTGGAATGTATATGTGGTTTTGCTTGTGCATTGAGGTTACTCTTTTAACTGGATTTAGGAAGTAGATAAGTAATTTTGTGTTGTCATGATCTTTCTGATGACAACTGTGTTTTAGGTTTTATTACACTCACCAATCTTCTAGCTTTCTTAATAGGATGTCCTCCCCATTTTATTTTTGAGTTCAATCAGCCTCATTTTTACGTCAGTCAGTAAAAAATTGTTGTCATTAACAATCACAGAGTGTTACTTTTGTAATTATGTTTCTGTTTTATTTCCAATTGAGATATATACCTTAATTTTCAAGGGAAAATATTAGCCTTAGTGTGTGTAAGACTGCTTACCATAAAACATTGAGTGGAGGGAATATATGTAATTCAAGAGTTGCATTGGAAACTGTTCTTTTTGTTCCCAATATTTCTATATTATGATAAACAAGAGTGAATGAGCCTTGACAAAGGGGCGGGGGGGGGGGGATAGCTGA